TAGGAGAGCTAATAAAAGAACTAAGAATCAATGTTGCTACGGATTAGTGGACTGGTGGTGCCTACCACGGAGGTGCGTTGACGTCTGTAATACGACTCGCGGCGACGGCACTACGTCACTCAGCGAAGGGGCCATATCAATCATTTTCCTGCCCTTGAAGTATTGGCAACATAACTGGGCACTGAATTCTTCCGTATGATAAGGTTTGGCAACTTGATTAAAGATGGGAAACTATAGATATGAGTTTTAGGACTACCAATCTCAGATTGTGTTGGAATGATGTCAATGTTGGAATCAGATCAGAAGAAATGAAATTCATATGCAACGAATTCAACAGATACTTCAAACGTAACGCAATGTGTAAAAATATACCAGAGTCATTTATTAATAGATTTGGTTATTAATAACATGTATATTACGAGTATTTGTAAGACAGTCAGTCCTCAGATAATAAAGACATTTTTCCCTATTTTTATGAACCGATTTTCATTAAATATTGTTAATTAGCAATTGACTAGTTTGTGATAAAAAAGTTCTTTTCCTAATTTAAAATAATATGATCCTAAAAGATGTACTCAAAAAAATGACAGAATAACTTGTCTTTAGTGCTGACCTAAATTACTTATAGATTATCATTATAAATAAATAAAATTAAAATAGATCACCATTAACCGTGTTTAATAACAGTAATATAAAAAGTTTTGTTACTACGAAGTAGGTAAATAAAAAGTAAGTGCCATACAAAAACATCCATTTTCCCCTCGTTTGCTTATGAACTCGTTGCTCAAACAATAGTAGGTGTACAATTATAGGCGTGTATCAGCCCTTAGTACAAGATTAGAGGTTTTGATTGATCGCGCCGTGAACTGTGGTATTGTGAGTAACGTTCCTGCACTCTCCATGGTGAAGGAATGTAAACATTAGATTTCACCTGCCCGCCTCATATACAACATCTACCCTATGAATATACATTATAGATATACAATCTATATACATACAATTGTAATAGCAATTTGTAGTTTTACGTTAGTTTAATTTTGAAGTCATTTGGAAGTCGTTCATTGAAGTCGATTTTTTGTTGTAGAAGTTTATTACGTTTTTATTTTGATGCTCTAGTTTTTGTTAATTACTGGCCAGTTAAATTGTATCAGTAATATTACGTTTTCTGTTTTAAAATTGCTTCCGTTATGATTTGTAAAATTAAAATTTTGTTTAAAATAATAATATTTATCTGTAAGAAAGGATAATATTCGAACCGAGGGAGACCTATAATCGTGTGTCCAGGCAGTGAGTATGGGGAAAAACCGGTTTTACAACTGTTATTTAGTATACATTTAAGAAAAGTAATATTGCTTAATTCTTAATTAAAGTGATAAAACTGAATTAAAGAAGCGAGTACAACGATCTACTCATTCGTGCCATGTCAAGGGTTTTAGGTACTTGTGACGTCAACGGAAGCGTCCGTCGAGGGGCTTCCCTCTCAACCCTCCTCACACTTAGCGGCGTCTGTTAAATGACACGGCTATATTATAATCACCACTTTGCCTCAGCCTATTTACATACAACCACTAGCTAAATTAACGAGGAAATTGTCTGTGAGAATTGTTGCCATTAATGCTGGAAGTGGAGTAATGGTTTTATTTATGTGTCTTTACTTTTAATTGCTGCAGACAATTTGCTCTCTGAGTTTTATGCTTGAAAAATGCCTACATTATTAAGACGGAACGGAACATAGGACGGAAGTGGTTGTGTCTTTTCAAGTGACAGCCATTTCTAATCTTATTACACGCTGTATACATTAAAGTGTATATGGCGTTTAAAATTTTTAGCATCATGTGAAAAAATATTAAATAAGTAATATTCAACTGGTAACCTTTTTTAAGTCAATTGAGCGAGAGATACAGTATATGCATACACTTATCACTATAATAAAAATAATATAAAAATATTTTTTTACTATAATAAAAATACCGCTTTCTGTTCTGGACGAAGCATAAGCAGATAATAATGAAAACTGCTTTAAGACCTATAGACACTTAATAAATATTTACTTAACCATTCATAGTATTTTAAACATAAAAAACATGTATTCAGTTGAAAATATTAAGTTTCCTTCTTAGAATTACGACGGGGACGGGGTAGACAGCTAATATTAATCCTAATATTTAATAAAGCCCTTTGCTTATTTATTTAAAAGTGTCTATTTGTTGCTTCATCTCCGGCATAACGATTTAATTTGGACTACTTTACATTAGACCGAATAATTCGACTTTGACTTTGATAATTTTTGTGCACTAGCATCGTCATCAGAAGAGCTATTAATTGATCTTCTTCAGAGTGTGGTATTTTATTATAAGATTAAAGTTCGATCGTATTTAAAATCGAAAAGAAGGGTTCATTGTCCTGGTGCCACGCGACATGCACCCCATCGTTTACAACCGTTATTATTACCATAAAAAACGATCCAAAGTGTGCTAAGGTCGTCCGGTTTTAAACAATACAACCCTTTGCACTCTTTCTAAACAGTTTTGTATAAAATAGGTGGGATGTACATTTTATTGGGTGGCAATTCGATATGGGGTTCTATTGAATTATTTCGCGAGGGTGTCTCTCTGACTTTGAATAGGTATATATATTATTACTATTTGATTATATGTGGATTTATAAATGCTAAAAGTAGATGAGGTCAGCTTAATTTTAAAAATGTTAATTTTATAATTGTGGTTATATATTTACATTGGGCAAATTTAGTCTTTGCTCATTTTTTTATTCTCCAGAGTATTGAGCATAGAAAAAATCGTAAAATAAGTTTCGACCAATTAGAATATATTTCTTCTTAATACGTGTAGTGTAGGTATTTTTCCACTTTATATTTCTTATTAATAACTTAACACATTACTGAAAACGGATCCAGTTGAAGTCAAAGGGATTGTCACCATTCCCAGTAGATACTTGAGTCAGAACTGTGGTCGCTAGGAGACCATATTTTCATAAACATTTATGGGGAATTCCTTTACCCCGACAAGCTTTCCCATAGTCGCGTCATAAGATTGACGATTATAATCATATTTTTTAAATGCTGTAAAGCTATTTTGCCACCTTAACATTAGTTTACATTCTGCTCACATGCAAATGATGCACAGAACAGATCTTAGTATGGTCAAGCCAAATTTCTCGATGGCAACAGAGTAACTTTTCTATGCTGTGAAGGAAGAAAGTACATGTGGTGACGGATTAAGGATACGGATTGTCACTACCCCTATTCATCCCGTGAGTGTCGTAGAGCAAACTACGCAGGTAAACAGAACTGCAAAGAAAAGATAAACTTTACACAAACCCTATACTACCCCGTCTGGCCAGCGTGGTATAGTAGGCCACCTATAGTAACCTCCTTTCTAAGTATTTCTAGGTCCAGCAGTGGACCATTTAATACTGTTTGTGTGATGTGATGTGAAGGAATGAAATCCTCCAGTCAGGTAAAGATCCGAAGAATCCGGCTTAAGATCATCAACTTAGAGAAGGCAGTTTGTGACTTAAGCACATTTCTCAAGGGTATTTTGCTCCGCTACCTGGACGGGCTTTACAGAAATGATAGCAAACACCTTTCAGTATTGCTAGCTTTGTCACTTCTTGCCATCGATATCTTTGATGTCGAAACCGAAAGGTCGTATCTTCAATTGACTCTGACATAATCACCTCATCGTGCCTGAGGCCGGTTTGTGCTGATTTTTATATAAAAATAAGTTTTTATATAACTTTAGATAGTAGAAAGATATTTTTATGCAAAATGCGAACATGCAACACAACATAAATATACATGTAAAGAAGGAGCTAAATTACATTAGTTTTCTCGTTTTTATCATTTGAAACTTGTTTTTAACACGAAGTATTATAGTATCAACCTTTTTTTTTTAAATCCTTGTAAATTTTTAATAAATATTTTACGGCCTACAAACATTCTAAGTATTACTTACAATATCAAATTTAAAAAAAAACAAATAACTGCACTATCTCATACTTTACCGCGAAACAAGTTAGAGGGGTTCAATCAACTATCCAAAACTGGTATTTGGACTATTCTAATGTGATCCTAGTCGAAATTTGGACATGGGAGCGCAAGGGTGCAGGGGACCGTGGGAGATGAGACCCTGTCACAATTCTTCGCAGCCCTACCCTGCGCAGCTGTCGCGATAACTTTTGGATTCGATGAATCGATTTTTTGATTCACGACTCTTTATTGTTCCTATTCGATTGTTTGCCGATGCCAGCCTTTTTGTTACGGTGACTTATGTGAACGCGACGTATCAGGGAGTAGTATTATTAGCCGACGACAGAACCGTTAATGGGTGTCGATTTTAACTCCCCATGTCGAAGTGAAAATTATAGCCTAAATTGGTATAAAATAATATATTCTGTACGAAACATTTCAGTAGGGTAAGGAGTAATGTACTAAAACAAATATTTTTCAATACTTATTTGAAAATAACTAACATTATATTTAATTATTATGCGGTTAAATTTATAAGCAGCTTCAATTTTTTACGCAATAGGGTTGTAAGAGTTTTTGTGAAAGTAAATCTGTCCCTGTTATTATTAAACTTTTGTTATAAAATAAATAAAATATTGAGTGCGAGTAGTATAGAACAATCGATCTGAAAAGGTGGCAATTTACTAAAATATCGTTGCCTTAAATTTGACTTTTAGTTTTTTAAACTGTATGAGTTAATTTTTTTAAGACTGCAAGGGTTGAAATTAAGCCGGATAATTACAATATAAATTACACGTAAAGTTTCTGCAACCAGTTGGGAATTACACGCTTTACGAGCGGTTTGCATATGTTTAAGCCAACACAACAGAATTATTTTAATGTACTCTATTCACTATGCAAATAGGTTGCGCGTGCAAATAATGCATGAGAGTATTAATCCTAGACAAAGCGGGTTGGATTAATAATTTCAAACATGGGGTGTTTTTTCGGTTGTTCTATGGTTTGGCCAGGGCTAGGGGTCATTGAACGCAGCTGCGCGGTCGCGAATCAAATTGATACGTCCGAGTGCATATGTCGCGGGCAACGACACGCGGCGACGTGCGCGTGCGACGCCAACGTCAGGCAATGTGCAAGAGCCGGCCGCCGGCTGCACAACCATTGTCATGGTTTGCTTTCCTATTCTTATGAATAATGTAATTATACATTTTTGTAATTAATAATGGAACTATATGATTAAATTAAAATATTATTGTAAGCAAAATTATTTTTAGAAACAATGTTATACTTTCTATTAAATTATTATTTATTATTTCATAATTATTACTATTTAGTTAACATTTTCAAATGTAATATCTTAGCGAAGTTATTAGTAGTTTTATTATTCCAAAAACACCTAAATCCTGAAACACTTGGATTTGTAAATCCCCATTAGATTATTTTGTAACTATTACAGGAATATAAACCTCTATCAAATGCGAGTAACGAATACTAAATTATCAATCTGGTATGAATTAAGTCCGGATCGACTAGGATGATTCTAAAATACTGTAAGAAACTGGAGACCGAGTTACAAGATCTAACTCTATAAATATCATCACAAATATCACAGTTTTACAATCAAATACAAATATGCTGCTAAAACCCCTTATCACAATTATCAAATGTCAAGAGTTATGCAGGAGTACAAAATTTTTATTCTGCCATACAGTATGGCCGTAAGCTCTGGAGGGCAACTCTTTGGATTCCGCCTTTGAATTTCCTTTATCCTCAGCCAATAAAGTATTCTTTAAATAGTTGAAAGGGTATAGTATTTTAAATGGAAACGACGCCGCCGCCGTCAAATTCACTTACCAACTTCACTCTTGGGTAAGAAAACGGACTCGTGTACTTACTCCCAGCCAGGTGGCTGCAGTTCAAACTGGCGCTGAAGGAGGTCTTATCATATTTAACTTTCAGACTGCTCAATCTAAACTCATCCGACATCCGAATATTTGTATTACGAGAAATTTGGCCGTGGAAAGCACCATCAATGGCTTGAATGCTTCTATTGAGAGATTGTCATAACGCGTAGGTAATAGTCGCCCATGTTCGAATAGAAATGGCCACACAGTGAGCTGTCTCTCTATTGCAGGCTTTTGTGTTCCTTCTAATGAAATTAGCTTAGCCAAATATCCTTATAGCCATTCATTGCATACAGGGATCTGTTATCTAATCGAACGTTCAATTGATACGAGTGATAAGCGAACGGGTGCTGTTCACCCTCTTTAGCCAGTCGATAACCACAACTCATCGTAGCTATTTACATTCCTGTTTTTAACAGCTGTTGTTTGTGACATAGCGCCTTGCTATACAACATTCGATGGGTAAATTGAAACGCGAATGTCAATGCCGAAGATTGTAGGACTTGTAGTACTGACTAATAGAATAACGCCGTGAAGAAGCACTACTGGTGTATTTAGCTGTGACAGGCCTCTGGATCTAGTTTAGAAAGATTTGATTCCCATCCAAGACAAAAAGTTATATGACCAGACACACAAATTATATAAATATATTTATCATCTCTCTGATTACTACAGAAGGGACTCTGCCTAGTTTGGGACGGGATAGCTGTTTTTGAGGTATCATATGATATTTTATATATGAATACTTGTGCAGAGCATAATGGTCGCAATATACTTCAAGTTCGTTATTAGTGACTGATTTGAAAAGGTTTTACTTCTAGATTTGGTATTCGTTTAGTATAAGGCGGTAATTTACTTATAAAAAATAAAAGATGAAATACTTCTGATGCAACATGTCTAATTTTAAAATTAATTAATATAACGTTTTTTGCAAATACAGAATTTTGCTAAAAGTTAAAAGTATGGGCTTTTGAATTTATTGAAGCTTTTGCGGTTTCTAAGTATATTTATGGATATAGACATGTCGACATATAATATTGATAGCAAAACATTGACCACATCGTAATTATAACTACCATAGATTAATTAATTAAATGGCTAATTGAATGACTGAACTTTTAAAATTGTTTTATTTGTCTAGCTTTGAAAATAGAATGCAAAATTTTATCAACGAAAATAAATGATTCTCTTCTTATTTTTTATTAGCTAGAATTTGTAAAGAAAACTAGAAACTATAAGCTTATTTTGTTTTAATCAAAAATAACCAAGTAATTTAAATTGTGTACTATGTATATTACAATACTATCACGACAGTTATTTTGTTTATAATATTCTTATAATTTTTCTAATGTTTCATTTTTACGGATTTTAAAATAAAAACAAATTATATGAAATATCAATCATTTTTTTCATTTTAATTTAATTTTATATTATTTGTTTTATTTAGCGATAATACGCTACTTTAGGGAATTCTTTGTAATAGTTTTTTGAAGTACATGTAAGTAGTCTTTTTAAACAACAGATTTTGCTATTTGGTACCTGTTGTAAACCTGTATATTGATTGAAGCCTGTGGAGTTTCTGATAACACGAATCGCTATCACTATCGAGAGATATCATCAAACGCGTCAGTTGATCAATAATTTGTTGATGTACAAAGTACTATAAATTTATTAGTACAGATTTTATGATCTGTAATGAAACATTTCGACGCAGAAGACAATAAAGGGTTAATACATTAAAATGTTACATAGTATATTTACACCTTTACTGGCTCATTAGTTGGATTGTTTGTAAAGGTTTATTATTTATTGTTTTTTTTTATATTAATAGGAGTTTATTAACAAGGGTTATTAGTTTATATACGGTTGTCATAAGGGGTAGCTTTTGTCACAAATACAAAGCAATGCACGCACAGCGATATCTATTATCCGGAGAAGCGACCACTATATAAATATACTAGCATTTGCTGCGCCTGCGGTTATCGCGTTAGAAAGAAGCCTACGTCCTACCTCACGAATAACATCTCCATACCGAATTTCATATAAATCGGTTCAGCAGTTATTGATTCCCCATAAAAACTTCCACCCCCCTTTTCACCCCCTTAAAGGACGATTTCTGGGATAAAAGCTACCCTATGTCCTTTCCCGAAACTCAAACTATCTCTATTGCAAATTTCTTCTGAATCGCTTCTGTGGTTTAAGCGTAAAGAGTTAACAGACAGACGTATAGACAGACGGATAGACAGACAGACAGACACACTTTCGCATTTAAAACATTAGTATGGATACAACTCAAATCTATGTAAATCTGAAAACGCACCAGTATTATTTATTAGATAATCCCAAATGATGATTATTTAAAAAACATGTACATATTATGACGAATCATAAAAGTGGATTATTAAATTAGCATTTAATTTCAACATATGCAGATGAACGTTTAAATTTTAGCGTTCCATCTAATATTATTTATTATGTTAACCTTGGCAAATCCCAGTCTCAATTTTCTTTTTAATTTTCTGCAAATGAATATATTCAATTTTCCAATTTTTTTGATAAACTTAGATCAATTGTCATCTTTAGGAGTTGTCATATAGAAGAAAATCAAAAAAATACAACTTAAATAAGAAAGGCCCTAGGTTTGTTTTTTAAGGCTCGTCGAAATTGATAATTCTCTACCACTGGGTGTACCATAAGATGAGTAATCGTGAATAAGTTAGGATAATAGTTCGCAAAAACTTTTAAGTATTAGTGTAATTAATTAATTATACATTGGGAACTTTAGATAATAAATCGTTATCCTTTTGATAACTAGTAGTTATCATTATAATAATGAATTGTCCTGTTATTTTGTAAAATTTCTAAATAAATTCTTTTAACCTTAAAATATAAAGTTTTTAACGTAGTGTCATTTTGGAACCGTTATTTAATGTTTTTTTTTAGTTATTGTTAAGTTAGTTTAAATGTTTATCAAAATAAAGGTCTGTTTTTAATTCAATAAACCTTAAATTAATTATGTACGTCGGTAATTAGTTATTTAAATGAAAATGATTATTTACGTAATTTGAATCATGTTTATTCTTACCAATTTTTTCTTCGTACACCTATGTATTTGTGTTTAATTACCGCTTTATTAATAATTTATTAAACACTGATGATAATTTATTTAAAAACTTTTTTTTAATATTTTTTGGATTTTTTATTTAATAATTATAAGTTTTATTGCAGTTCTTTAAAATAATGTTTAATTTATTTTTAAGTTATTGCTAAGTTGGATGTTCATTTATGGTAATATTATTTACGATAATGTAATAAATTGCGACAGTCGGTAATCGTAGGCGGGATTAATTCTACAACCGAACGACCGCGACCGACCGACCGGGCGGAGAAGGCGGGCGTCTACGGTGCCGTTATCGTAGCGACTGTACGCTCTACGAGCTACGACCTACGCGCAAACATTATCGACTTTATTATCGCACGCACCATTATAATTATCCTTTACACTCGTTGATATTTTATGAATGATAAGTTTATTCCCTTATAAAACTTAAGATATAGTTACCTTATTATTCATCGTTTTAAATTGTTATTGAAATTATAAAATATACCTTCGATAGGCCTAAATTCCTTGAACGAAGTATTTTCAAACCACCAAAGTACTTGTACTCAAATAAAAATATAATTTACTAAAGCATTTGTGTTGACGATCATTAAGAGGCTTCATATTTTTGTATGTAGACGTGTATTACGTCATAAAAAGAAACCGCAGAACAATAAAATACGGAACAGAAACGTGAAGTTTAACATGAAATACGTTATTCGTATCGTAAATCGGATGTTACAAGGGAGTGAGGTAGTTGTGGGTGGATAGAGGGTGGGGTAGAAGCTGGCACAGCGCCAGCCGACAAGGTGAAGTGGCGACGCCAGTGAAAGTCCTCGCCCTCAGAACCATCTCGTACCCTCCCGACATCTCGCCGTGAGCCATACACATTTATGTACTATGTAGGCATATATAGATAGCACGATATTTCGTGTAGAAAACCATTTCGAGATTATGCGTAGGATCTTTTTAATTACAAAATTACATTCTTTGATTTAATTATTATTTTGATTTTGGAAATTGTAATATCTAGATGGATCAGATACATTGAAAATGTTAAAGTGGATGTCTCTGTACGAGGAAAATAAGTATTAATATTTCTTTAAATACATAGACGAGAGAACTAAAGAGAGGAATTGAAGATTTTTTAGAGGGTGGACAATAACATGGCATTTTATCGAGATATAAAGGATGAAGAAAAATGCCTGTTTGTAAGGAAAATTGTATTCATGGAGCGATTTTCTAAATTTAATTTTCTATTTTCTGAATGAAAACTGTAATTAATATGACTTTTAACATTACACAAAGATAATAAAATTGGGGATTTGACAAAAAAATACTGAAGTCCGCGTTAATTTTTTATTAAACACTTATTATATTAAAACATTTAAAGCGCAGACAATCCGCAGATATAAGACATGCAACACAGAAGCATTGTAGGAATACATTTAAATTACAATTTGGAAAAATAACATCATGATTTTAATAATTATTAAAAACGTTTGAAATAAAAAACATTTAACACGACAAGTAATAATAAAATAAAACTTTAAATTAAATTTGAACGTGAAAATTACCCGATTCATAACAACTTTTCAAATTTGATTGCGTCGGAAATCAGCATCAGTAACGACCCGGTTGAATTTTTGGATTCACTTTTAATTAATGCTAGTCACGGAAACGAAGTATTAAAGTTGAAGTGAGTCTGCATCGGGAACATTTAATGGTAAAACGTGTAATAAAAAGTTGCGGCGGTGGATGCGAGGTGCTGGCATGCCTACGTACCTGGGCTGGTGATGCCACCGGAGCAGGCCACGGACGGCAGCGTCACGGTTCACTCACAGCACGACTGACACTCGCGGAGCGCGCGCCAAGAACGGTACGTTACGTGCAAACACCAAAAGCGAAATGAACATACCTGAGGGTGGCGGCTGGTACGGGGCGCGCTCGCTACTTGAATGAGCTCCCCGGGCAAAGCGGCGCGCGCAGGGGGCGCGGCCAGCCCGCGTGGCTCCGGTTCGCAACCCCCGCACCCCTCCCCGCCTGCACCGCTCAGCTGAGCCCTGATTAGCCCCCGGCCGGGCTATTCAATTAAGGGTTGTTCGGTGCATCGCCGATGTGGGCCTGGCCGCCCGGGCTCGCCGTGCGATGCCGCCTTTGAGTACCTCTTCATTAAAACCTCTCTATCACTGTTATTCTTATTGGGCCCCCGGATTGAGCTTCCCTCGCTACCAGACTGTTACGGCTGAAAATTACAATTTTCCTAACAAAGAACCTTTTGCTAAGTATTGCACTCAGCGTATGTTGAATATGTAGTAGATAGTCAACTATTAGGAAGGCACACGTACTATGTACACACGTACATTTATAGTATCAGTACGAAGAAAGGTTCCATAAGGAGGTTCTATAAGAAAATAAATAGGTTACAATCTTTATTTCTACTGTACTGAGATGAATTACCTACCTTTAACTAATGTTAATTATTATTATAGGCCAATAAGAAAAATGTTAAGGTTTCTGTAAATGAACTGTCAAGAGATTTATGGTTATTTGTTTCATTTATTCGACATGAAGACTTAAAAAAGTTTGTTTTGAAAATATGTAGTATGTCGGGCATACAAACTGAAAATAATAAAAGTGTAGAAATAATAGTAATTACTATCATCTGTCATCCGCTAACCCTAATTATTATTAACTTTATAAAAAAGGTAAAATAGTTTATAGGCAATAAACTAGGCGACTACTGAACTGATTTTAAATAATTTTAATAATTTCCTGGGACAAACTACATATCTCTAGATCCAAATTAAGCACAGAAAAACAGACATAGATAGTTTTTTTGTAAATGCATGCAAATACACATGTGCACACAAATATCTGCACTGAGCGGATATCAATTCTGGCCTGATCGTCAAATTCAATTCCGCCTACCATTAGAACGCCGCAATATTTAAAATTAGACTATTTTAATTTGAATAATAGACAAAGAGTCATAGAGTGCATATGTAAGTTTTATTTAATTTTTATTTCAAACCTGGTAGCGCAATACAGGACGCTATTATCCATACAACGAAAATTGTTATTAAAACAGGAGTAGGGAACAATGTTAGCAGAAGCAGTCCCAGGGGTGCGAAGCGGCGACTCGTTACAAGTCCCTGCGACTCTTGCCAAGAACCGTATTATCGTTTAATTCTATCCAAACGGTAATTGCATCAAGTGTTACACAGCGTTCTTGGCTAGTCTATTTTAGTTTTAGTATTTAAAATATAATGTAGGTAGTGATGGGTGTACATTCACATGCAGTTTTAACTTTAGTAGGAGAGTACAGTTTTAAGCTTGAACGACAATAAATTATGCTGTATTTCATCTAAAAAGCACATTTTAATAGCAAACCAACCTAAATAGCGGTCCACATAAAGCTAATTTTAAATTTGTCAACAGTTAAAGTAATAATAAATAATAGGGAAACAAATTATTAATTTGATTATAAGAAGCGTTTTAAAATAGTTCTACTTTGATAAATAGCCACTAATGAACTATGTGATATTTGATGTTAAATTCTACTTGAGATAGTAGATATTTGACTGCCTCCGTGGCGCAGTCGTAGTTTATGCGACTGACCTTTTCGGACCAAATGTTTGTGTGATCTGCAATTCTTTTTTCGGAGTTTGTGTGTTGACTATGTAAAATATGTATGTATTTACATAAAAAGTATATAAGTATTCTATCAGTCAATCTAGCTTTCATAGTACAAGCTCTGTTTAGTTTGATACTAGGTGACGTTGTGTCAGATGTCTAAAATATTATCTGAATATTATAATTACTTCTACTTATTAGTTTATGCAAATTATGAATAATAAACTTCATATATGCAGTTCAGTTTCTGAGACAATTTCTAATATCTCCAGTGATCGTCACATATTGTTGGTATATAGTATTATCATCAAATATTCTGTTGTAGTTTTTATTATCGTACTTTATATATTTTTGTAATTATTAAGTAATAATTTTATTACATTTTCTATGTTACTTTGTTTGTTGGTATTTTTGATTTTGTTTCTTTTTATATTTATTGGCAAATACGAGTACATTTTCAAAATTCGAAAACACCTTCAACTACAACTGTCTCTCCGAAACATTTTGATCTATCCTAAGGTTGCCTGGAAGAGATTGCACTTAGCATTGAGGCCGCCATTTGTACATTACATATCTGACATTAGTATGTATGATACTACTCTTGTAAAGATGGCGTACCTAAATATAGTTTTCTATCTATCTGAAACACATTCAACTACTTAATTAATCATCATGAATGGAGATGTGCAAACCTGCCATGCATATTCGGATTGCAGCGACCACTAATGAAATGAAATTTGTTGTGAAGATAAATATAAATTCTATTATTATATAACATTATTTTTAACTAAACCTTGTAGATTTATAGATAGATTTTAATTATGTTGCACATAATTACCTTACGACTATAAACCGGGATGACAGAGGTTATTGTCTACAGTAAATTACAATATGCTAACTACAATTAATTTTTATAGTAAAATAAATGTAATCATGCTTACAGTCAGCAATATGACAAAAAAAATAAAAATGACAAATAACTCATCAGTAACCATAAACGCGCAAACAGTGATAGCCATTAGAGAAGTAGAGACGTGAAAGTCGGTGAAAAAGAAAAATATGTTTCTGTTTTGGAAATATCATAATTATATTAATTAGATTGATTCGTGAATTACTTTTAATGAAGTAATCAATAATAAGATCAGAATCAATAAAAATAAATAATTACAACCAGCAACAAAAAACGTATTTAAAGAAATCCAAACTTATAAATTAAGATCTTTTGTTAAGTCAAAAATGACAACAAATTTGTAATAAACCACATATTTTTAAATATTATCAACTTTGTGGCTGCTTCTAGGCCTAATTTTGCACTACTCCTTTTGTAAACTTTGCATACAAGTTCTTGAAAACTAACTTAAGAGAGCAAAAGTGAAATCGATGGCGAAAATTAGTAAAAAATATATAGAATATTTTAACAGACAGTCAAGATGATGAAAAAGCTCTTAACCTTTTTTGGGGGCGAAATTCCCTTTGGATTTCGAGTTCCTTAGGGATATAGGAGTGAGGAGCATGTGGTATGTGGTGTTTCCACTAAAAACTATGCGATCTCTTAGCACTAGTGTTTCTCATAATGAATTGCTGGGGTCCAAAAGATTTCAAAGCAGAAGAATGGATTACGTTAACCAAGCAAGTGATACAGATGATTTGTCGAATAATAATAGGTACTTATAATCGTCCCATGTACTTTTGATCACTTTTATTTTAATCAAAAAGGGAAAAAAGTTTATGAACTAAAATCACTACATTTCGTTATTTTGAATTCTTAAAACTTCTATTATGTGTAGGGCAAGGCCACATCATCGTCTGCAGTATAAAAATACTGGCTATTTTCTAAATACATGATGAAGAAGTATTATGGTACGCAATTTAAAAACTTTTGTAGTATAAGTATAAGCGATAACTCGCTTTAGTGAGTTGAAGAAGCGTGCTCTCTATTGTTTATATATTTATATGTTCTTATAGTTTTTGCATTAGACAACTATCTCTGAACCCTGAGTGTACACAGTCCCTAAGTGTACACAGTGCACCTTCGCAAAAACTCAGATTATAATGTATCTAAATCGCATATATGTCCTACGTAGGTATTAAAAACAAAACTAGATGGATTGGCAGTTACCGCTGCTTAAACCAATACACTAATTTTGCAATCACTACATGAAATGATAATATCATAGCAGAAAGTACGAATTCAATCATATGGAGCCGTGGACTTTTTGAATTTTTTTGATGGAATGTGATTTTATTACAACAAGTTATTTAGAAACAAAGTATGAGCGGAACAACGAGCCACGGACACTCATAAACAGGCCATTAAGTGAACTCAACTGTTCTTAATTATCAGGCTCTAGCGCTCGGTGGAACAATGTCGTTACCGCGATGCACTCGTATCTGTTGAAGTAGTCTCGATAAATACACTTATAGTTGCGACTTTGTTTCATTTAATTTCAAACTTGTAGTCTATGCCTTCAACATATAATACATTTGGGACTCGGACTTCAAAATCGCTATTTTAATATACAAAATACGAGTATTGTAATATTTTATCCACTCCGTTTATAGGGTAGTAACAAAATGTAATAGGAAAAGGAATTTTGCATCTGGAACCAAGACAATACGATTAAGCCCTTTAAATTCCCAGAAAATAATGAAAAATGAAGATATCTAAAATTTTAAAATTTCTTTTCCTGTAACATTTTGTTACTACCCTATAAACCGTGTAAATATTTCCGGATAGAGATTCCGCTCTGTTTACTTTAGGCACGTGGTAGAGCCTAGCAATCTGTCTACACTACCCTCAGGCACGGCACCAAAATGTGTTCCTTCTCTCTTAGAACTTATTATTATATCCAACACTGAGCATGTGACCAATCATGTCCGATGCTCCACGGATGAGTTTTCCCATCATGATTTAATCTAACTGTCCTACGCCCTTCGACCTACTAAATCAAAACCGAAAATTGTGATGCTGCACAGTTTTGGTAGCATGGATTGGTAGCGGGAAACGCTATGTGCAGTTATTAGAAGCATCGATTGGCAATTGTTGGCAATTGTATTGATACAAAAGTAAACATTTTAAATGAAAACTTAATTAATGTATATGATATCATGTACTTCTTCGTACTGTTAAAGTAAAGCATTTGCCTGCTCCATGGCTCACCAATGAAATACGCCATCATATCGAAAAAGATAGTGGCCAAGACGAGTTACAAGCGTCAACCTACTCAAACTAACTTACGAACTTACTCAAATTAAGGACAAATATGTGACTATAAGAAATTACTGTAATATGGTGTGTAGAGAAGCGCAATGCCGACATATAGATAAATCTGTAGAAAACAACGATCCGGTGAAGATCTGGAAATTTCTGAAAACATTACCACGGACCAAAACCATATTTCCAAAGATTTAAATCTTGATTCACTTGACAAGCATTTTTTATCCTCTTCTGATTATAATAAGACAACAAAATCTAAAACTTTCATTTCACTTTATTATCCTTTCATTTTCAATCGATTGACAGCTTATGATGTTAAGAAGAGCATACTTTCAATCTCATTTGATGCGGTAAGAAGTAACTACCTAAGTAAAAAAAAGATTGTCCCCATCGTTGATGATATTCTCCCTGTCCTATGTAACATTTTTTAGCATTCCTTTTCCTAGGGCGTCCGTGCAGGACATAGTACAGTGTCAGCATTAGTCCACATTACATATGACATTAGAGAAAACATGGACAGTGGCATCGAACGGTATTATCCGATACCCTATGCTACCTGTATACTGATGATTTGCAGATAGACACCCATTCACCTGTCAGTATGTTGTCGACTGCGCTTAATTTAATTAATTCAGATTTACAGCACATAAGTGCTTGGAGTAACGACTATGAACTCAAAATTAATTACACAAAATCAATGTATACGTCATTGGGAGTCCCATAATATCTGCCAAAATTAATTGGTCACATTTACCTCCGGTTCAAATTAACAATACCATTATACCGATCAGCAGCAAAGTCAAAAACTTGGAAATTTTAGTCGATAGCACCTTCTCATTATTGAATATTTAAAATACTACCGAGTACTATATTATTAAACCGGAACGATCAAGAACGAAATTTTGTGCTTAAAACGCTACTGTATAATAGGGTTTTTTTTATGAATAAGTGCACTAAACACATGACAGTAATCAAAAGCACACTTCTCCTAAGAACGCAGTTTCATCATATACTTATGCAAATACTTTCATATAACCGCCTACAAGAAGAAGACAAAGCAAAATTTAAAATTTAAATTGTGTTTTCGTAAAAAGTAGTTAGTTTCAAGCAAAATAAATAAATGCTTACTTTTTTTGGCTGAAGACTATATCGTCCAACTTAAATTAGTTCTGCCTACCGGCAACTGCTGACTGAGATATTTTATATTTCTATCTGTACCTACTTCCCTATAGTACGGGACTATATCAAATTTGAATAGTGCCGCATAGAGTGTTACTGATTTCATTGTTAATTGGAAGTGCAAATTAATGAAGTGGAATCTGATGCAAGAGAACGTTAACGTTAAGAAATATAAATAACACAACATATAATAATAATTGTTGTTAAGCTATTACGATAATGAGTTGCAAGAGATTTTTTTTCTGATTTAGGATATATACCGTGAGGATACTGTTAAATTTTATTCTAGCATTTCCAACATTTTTCACCTAAGAAAACGTTACCAAATTCTTTATTTTTTAATATTTTGCTTAAAAGTGAAATGGAACTTTCTAATTGATTATATAAAAATTGGTTGATTAAGAAAGATTGTTGTATACGAAACCTAACTATGCTAAAAAAACAGGATAATCAAAAGAACTTTTCGCAAGGAAAGAGAAGATTGTCATATTAATATAATTACAAAGGTTTGAAATGGCTCATTAATTCTATTCAATTATAATGCAGTTGTCTTTTTATGAATCAAGAAATTTTTGTTACATCGTAATAATGATGTAATAGTTATAACATAATAGTAAAATTGCTTTTCTAAATAGTCCTCAGTGTATTTTAAAACTTATTGCCTGACCAAGTGAGTTCAAGCAAGGATGTAGCTGAGATGCAGCTTTAGGTATCAGAGTATTGGAACAGTGCCAATGTTTGCCAACGACCTTCTTAACATTTCCCGATAACTACATTCATAGTAAGTCGAGCGTATAAAGGAAGTTTCCACCAACCTGCGCAAGAAAGCTCAGCCGCCGCCCTTAACACGAAGCGCGATGACTCGTGAACTTATGCGAATCGAATTTTTACATTGGAAATCTTTACAGAATCCGGAAACGAGCGGCGAATGAAATGTCTAAAATGGCAGAAAACCTGAGGCTACGCGATACCCGAGGTGACTGCTCCGCTTCCGATGCAGTTACATTTGGCCGCAGACGGGTTTAACGAGTGTTGCCCGGGCCGATGCCCGGGACGCAGCACCTCGCATCCTCGCTGTCGCTTTACTATATTCTACGCCATAATGAAAAGCTACATGACTGATATTGGAATAATAATAGATATTGAACTTTCCGAATGCCGCTATAAGGTCGATAACTATAAATAACGGGGAGATGCAACCCTGTACCGTGTGCATACGAGCGTGTAATGTTGTCGGTGTGCGTCGCGCTTCAGCCAGGTGAGACTGTGTCTGAGTGTGCAGCCCACGCCTGCGTGTGGGTGAGACAGGTGAATTAGCGGCACGTCCTGGCTTCCCAGGGCGGCACGAGGCCCGGGCGAGCTCGTCGCCATAGCTACAGCCGGAATCTAATATACAGATAGAAGCGCGCAAATAAAAGCAAAATATACATTTATACATATACATGTATATTATAAAGAACGCTTGCTACAGACCACCTACACAACTTTTAATTATAATGTTCGAGAGTTTTTAGGTGTCCTTTATTTTTTATTATCTAAACATAAAACAGAAACCTTTTAATAGAATTAATGACGTCTTTTAAAATATTATGTACTTCAAATAAGATAAATTGTTTTAAGTTTAAGAGAAGAATTTTACCTTGATACGGTATTAGGCATCGATTTTCAGAGTAGGATATTAGTTTTTTCCGTCTGTTTAAAAGTAGTCAAAGATACCGATAGTGCAATCAGTGGTTAATATTTACTAAAGTTAGTGATTTTCAAATTAATAGTGGTACATTAGAATGTGTCTACACATTTGACACATGTCTTTTGTGTCTACAAGCCCTTTTTAATTCGATACGATCTTTATCATTCAAGATATATGATGTCAAAAATAAGACAGTTATAACATTTTTTTAATAATTTGTTTATTCATTCATTGTTTTATGAAAATGTGTGATCAACCTTTTTACCAGTGATTTGCGTCTATATAAATATTTTTAGTTACCAATAATTCAATAAACAGCTGTACAGTATAGAATACAAAGGCTTGCAAGACTAATGGTACATGATATTATAATATATAAGAGTGCGGTGCCCAGTTATAGCTTTTTGATGACATATCTGAAGAACTTTGATGTAGCCTTACAGAAACGTGGCAAAATTACTTTTAAACCGATCGCAAGAAGGATTCGTTTCTCAGATCGGCTTTTTTGTATGTTACACAATACTTGCGACATTGTATAGATAATGTTTAATGATTTTATTGTATTCGAGGTTGGTCGCATTTCAATTTGAAGAAAATATTCCACCTTGAAGGGTTAGAGATTAATGAGATGAGGCAGACAGCTTATTACGTTATGTCATGACTAAGGCACATGGACACTTAACTATTGTGAAGATAGGTCGTCCTCCTTTTCATATTCAAATTGTAAATGTCAATAGTATTATCTCAAACATTTTCATCATGAAGGTATAAATTCATGCAATAAGATAGAACTACGTTAAATTATAGCGACATGTACCTACGCCCAGAGTAATAAATGATCGATAGAGCGACGTGCTATATCTCCGCCCAAGCTCTGCCCGGGCGAGCCGGGTCGCGCCTCCCACCCCAAACACTACACTGCACTTTTATCCTATAACATAATACCATTTTTTAAAAGCATTAATACTCTCTCTGTGAGCTTTTAAAATATTAATATTGATGGCAGATATGGATGATTGGATTTATCAGGGGTGCTTGTGTACCCACAAGAGTTAAATTTAGTTTTTAAATAAGTAGGTAGAAATTAAATTGGCAAAAATGCTCACTATAGACCTAATAATAATTCATTAATTACTTTTTGGTGTCCATAAATACCTTAAAGCTTTTGTGCGACTTGGAAGACGCTATGTCTTACACCTTCTCTAACACACCAAAGAAATAAAACAGTGCATTATTGTTAGTAATAATGGATAGCAAACATTTTTGGTTGGTCTAAACTATGACACACTCTCTCCCTGTTTGTGTTACCATCCTATCCTATTAATTTCATCAACCACGGCATTTTACTACAATTATATAGGGTGTAAGGGACTTCGTAACGCATACTGAAATAGACTGCATTCACACCATCATTCTTGGTCAAAAATCTTTGGAATTTTCTGCTGGAAAATTAAACGTTTTATGCAATCGGCTGTCAAAATTTAAGGTAATTCCCCTTTGGTATCGCTCAAAAGTAATAACAACTTTCGTATTCTGTGCAATCTACGCACACTAACACAAGTTGGCGGCCGGGAAGGATACCCCGCGCGGCCGTTTGATTAATTACATTGCAGTTTTTGACCGTTTGCGGTATTTATTAAATTGTTTTCGGCAAAATGTCCTGTTTACTCATTGCGATATAATTTTTAACGTTGAATAATTTTCGACTGATGGTCTCAATACACTATTTCAGTATTCATTACGATGTCCCTTACACCCTGTATGCGTAGCCTTTTTTTTTCCAACAAGATGTTAGACTTTTTTTGCTGTTCAGGTACTCGAATAACAGAAAAAAAATCAAAAATTTTAAGGCCGGCAACGCGTTTGTGACTCCTGAGTTGCAGACGTTCATGGGCGGCGATAGTCCCTTTCCATCAGGTGACACGTCTGCTCGTCTGCCCCCTCTAACATTAAAAAAAAACCAAGCATACTGTGTACTGAATAATCTCCGCCAATATATAAACAATGAACATAATTTAAAATTTTGATACCCATGACTCAAGTTTAATCTTACAAAAGCTCGACTGCTTTGTTTTTAATAATGTTGTTGTGATGATGATGACTATACCTCTTGTCTGTATCAATAAATTATTATTACATTATGTTATAGTTTGTGTAGAAAATCAAGTTTTAATTTCCCCCTGAGAGTGTAAAGCGCTATATATGGCAGGTATATAATCCTGTACCAGTGATTTTCTATGCAGTGAAATAACTGGGCCAGTCTGATAACCTAAAAAATACTTATCACTACAGAACTTGTAGGGGTCAGCTAGGAGTACTTTACTGGTGTAACGAGGGTATATTGGTACCGAAAATTATTTACTATGAGGAGGGCTAGGTCACTATTTTTACAGAATTTTATGAAACTGACAAGTCATGGTTTCTTAAATCTTTTATTAAATCTGTGTAAATAAAGTCCAAAGAGCTCAGTAACTTTATATCCCATTTAATCGTGACCGGTCTGGTCACCCTGACGGCTTAACTGAAGGTCGTGGATTCGATTCCAACCCAAGACAAATGATTATGTGATAAGCACGATCATTTGTTCTGTGTCTGGGTGTAATTTATCTAGTATGTTTTTATCATTATCGTCATCAACAGCCTTTAATAGTCCACTGCTGGATATAGGCCTCTCTTTAGAAAAGAGGTTTACTAGTATGTTTAAATTATGTATGTATTAATAATATTTAAGTATGTTTATCAGCAGTCTGGTTATCATGGGCTCTGACTAGTATGGGATTATATGGGATTTATTATTATAAGTTATGAAGTGATCTTATTAATTTTATTTTTTAAAGAATCACTGTCATATTTCGACTTCTGAGTAACACCTAATTTTTGAAAGAACACTGGTAAGAAAAATTAAATTATGGTTTTGATTTACAAGATGACAGTTTAAATTAGATTAACCTATTTAGGCAGTCACCTTATTAACAACTTTATTAAATTTCGTGAACAATATCTTAAAAAGAAAATTTAATGTGACGGAAATAAGACATTGTCTTTTAATATTTCTGTTTCAAAGTAATACTAGGTGATTTATTGTACGATAAATTTATATTTGTTATGAAAAAGCCTCCGTCGGATACGAAACTAGTCGGACATGCCCGAAATGTAGGCGAAATACTAATGGCTAAGAACCAATATTATCTGAGTTATCTATACAAATAATATCAAACTATTTAATTTATGAAATTACCTTCTAACACTCACAATCCCATTTCATATCTTCTGGATTACTAACCTCTTTTTCGATTATATAGAATCCTTTCATCATCAACTGGTGGGCCGTGGAAAAACACCGAACGATATATAGATAGATATATCTATTATTCTAACCCAATAACAAGACACCGCTGGAAGAAACTTGACAGGTGGGGGTACAACGTACAATGGGCGGTCTTATCGCTATAAGCGAAAATCTCTAAGAGACAGCCTTTGGAGAGGGATAACGAGAAGATTACAATAAAGAGCAGCTGATGGTTTATTGTAATAAAATATAAGGCCTCAGGCTAAGAGTGAACATATAACTTTACATAAATACATTCACATGAAATAAAACACAGACCGCAACGCACTGTTGTGCGCTGTGAAATGAACACTTATGAACAATAGAGTGTACGAAACCGCAGAGAAATAATAAAGCTTTCAATCATTTTCACTTCGAAGACCCTGTGATGTCTTCACTTTGTTTCCATTATAATAGAGAAAAATGTGATTGAAATCAGATATCTATCTTTATTATTATCTGATATCAATTATATAGTATTAGACCTTATTTTACTTGCGTAATTTATGTATACCAGTATATACTCGTATATCGACCTGTCATTGCACAGAAAGTCTATTCCAAAATCGTCATTATTATCAACCGCCTTTAATAGTCCACTGCTTTACACTGGCCTGTCCTTGGAAAGGAGGTTTTAGCCTACTATACCACGCTGAACAGACGGGTTGGTTTTACTCCTCTTTGCAGTGCTGTTGCTCTGCGTAGCTTGGTAGCGTAATAGCAAAAGCCGTTGGACTTGCGATCAATTGTTATGGGTTTAAATACACAGTGCACTATCGACTTTAAATAAATTCCTAAAACGTGAGCATTCTGGTAAAATCTAAAAAAAAACTGGCACACTTTTTACCTTTAAAAATTATCAATCCCATGTAATGTAAAGGGAAGGGGAATCAAAGGAAGGCAAAATGTAAGACGATAATTAACAAAACAGCTCTTATTTTAATAAATATGTGATATGTTATAAATGAAGATCATAATTTGAAACGTACCGCTTTGTATCATATTATTTATTCAACCGAAGTGTGTCGGAAAACTTGAGAGCCTCGGTCCATTTGTAGTTATGGTTAATGGGTAGCGGAAAAATTATATTTATCTTCCACCTTTATAGCAATTAAAATAGGACAGAAACGGCGATTTCAGCATAAAAATGTTTGACAGTTTTTTTTTCTAAAGAAAAAGTACCTGAATGACCGAGCTTTGCTCGGTATTTTTTTTGTATAACTAACTACGATATATTGTTAAAAAGTTAAGATTATTGCTGAGGATGAATAACACAAAGGGTTTATATAAAAATTTATGTTTTAGGTATTCGGGTTTTTCGCGCTGTGGACATTGTCGGACTTAAAATGATAA